ACGTTTGTAACCGGCTGGTGGGCTTTTTGGGCGGATCGCACCTCGTGAAGCACTGAAACGCAAATCAGCCTCTCGCTTGTGTCGACCTGGTGAATCTATTCTATTCAGTGTTTTAGGTGAATCTGTGCCTCCAATGGGATAGGGTATATTGCGATTCCCAGCGGTTCGGGGTCTTGGTGTTTGTGTATGTGGGTGTTTTCGTCCAATGGAATCCGGTGAATTCGGCTTAGGGACACGATAACCAGATGGTGACCTTGCTATTGTTTGGGACGCCTCCAAGACGTGGGGAATAGAACACCGGTAAACGAAAGCCACATCAGAAGGTAAATGGGTTTTGGCTGTGGTACAATTTGGGGGGCTTGCCAGTCGAACTGCATTGAGGTCTGCACTGATGAGCGTGGCACTGGCAGTTCCATCGGTCGTGTTCGTGGAACACTTTGTCCGAGAACGAGATGAATAGCATCGCTCAATCAGAGCACTAATCATACTCAGGCTAACGAAAGCCAATAATTCGACCACCTCGAACAGACCGATGACTGAAATCCCAATCCAAAGTCCCATCAATCCACCCAAGTCGGACAGCAATTCGGACAAAGGATACTCCAGTTCTTCATGTGTCAGTGTACCCCGAGGGAATTTCCGGCTTATCGTTACCATACCAAAATTGTTACGCATGTATGTAAACATATTCGAATTGTTTCCGGAATTGTTCAACAGTTGTCGAATGCGTTCTTCCGGCAGGTCAGGACCGAACACGCTTTCGAAGGTACTTGTCAAAAACGCCGTTCGTCCCTCGTTTATCGTGTCTGACCACAACTCGATAATCGGAGTTCGACGTAAACTTTCGGGCATGTAACTGGTAGATTCGCATGGTGGTGTCGAGCGGAACGTTTCACAGTATTGTGCTTCGGGCAGATTCATGTACACGGAGTGGTCATGATACTGTGTGTACACATCATACATACACTTTGCGTTTTGATCAATCGATGTGATGTTGAAGTGACTCATATTAAAACAAAGGACCGGTTGCCCGTGCACTAGGAGATGCTCATCCACCACGGGGTAAGGTAGAAAAGGGCTGTAGCAGCCACAGTTGTTTATGTACAAACGTTGGGATACCAATTTGTGACAAAAATCAGCCGAACCGACAATTTCACGCCGTGTTTTTAGATTGGCATCAAACATTTGCGCGACAAATTCGTCCGTACGACAAGGCAGACGATTCGGTTCTCGGATAAATCGTGTCATACTAACACTCACTTTGTGTGTATAGCCCGAGAGCAATTCCATTGACTCGTCCTCTGGAAAATGACCGGGTAAGCTGATGAACAAATCGATGTTGCGCGGAGCGTATGATGAATTGATGATTAGAAAACTGTCGTGGTTGAATTTCAGTCCGAGTGAAACTTGGTTAGTTGATAAACAGTCCTCTTGACTGAGAACGTGAGCTAGCTATATTTGTGAGAGAAGGTGGACAAAAAGAGGAAGTTGGGTTCAACGAGTGGTTCAAACGTGTTACAATTAACACATTCAAATGAGGTGAAATACAATTCCTAACAAACTGATCCAATTGGAAAGAATCTAGTTGTGCTCCAGACCTGGGTTTTATTAGCAAGCCCTGACTCTTTTGTTTATGGATATTAGGTTGCACAGTAAAATTGAGCCGTGCTTGGAAACCTTTGAATATTACTGCTCGCCGAATGGTTTTTAGTTGATCACATGGAACACAACCCTAATGCACAAATACAAAAGAATATGTATTAACTTGTTGATTGAGAGAGTAGTAGAGAGAAAGTAGTTTTGTTGTATGAGAGCAATGGAGGAATTATTTGTCTATGTGATGAATTAGTCGTCTAAATGAGGCGTGGGCTGAAAAGCTTGGAAGCACTGGACAGCTGTTTCAACTTGGTTGGGTCTCTTCAGTGCGGTGCAAACCCAACGACAGCTGTTCAGTGCTTCCCAGCTTTTCAGTTCGCGCCTCATTTAGATGACGAATTCATCATATAGAGAAAGTAGTTTTATTCACTAAACTCAGTTCAATAAAACTTTTTTGGGATTCAGAATGAAACCCAAAATATGGGTTATAAGCAGTTAAATACTGGTCGTTATTATCTAACCGTAAATACAGGTCCACCTCTGCCAGTGGCTGAGCGTCGTAAACAGTGGCCTTCTTGTATCTTCTCCATTTCTTTACAACTTTAGAACACCTGTTCCACTCTACTTTAAACCTTTCTGTCTTTCTCCTATTGCTTCATCCAAATGGGCAGCCAAAAGACAGCAACCGAACTCGGCGCAAATAAGTGCATGGTTAATGGTTGTACAAACTGAACTGAAAACTGACACTGAGTGACAAGAGGTACGGAGCTTTGGGTTTCTGGCGCAAATAAAACTCTGATCGAAGGAGACCAAACGCGCTTGTTGCCACACTGCTTATTTCATGCTATTTTCAGGATTTATATTTTTTATTCAAGCCATTTATTCGGAGATAAATGGAAATATAGTCGTCAGTCAGATTTACAATCTCACCCACTCCTTTCGTTTCATCAGAATTGTATATAGGCATAATTTCAGAATTTATCAAACACTGTTTTCGTTTTCACACAATTGAACACGTTCCATGGGGAACGGTCAGGGATTCTCAGCAAAATTTGCATAAATGAGCTGGTCATAGCAAATTATGTGCAAGATGGCGTGAAATTAAGAACATCGCAGCTTTTTTGACTGCTCCAGAATTCCTTAATCCATTTCATTTTCACACGAAATCAATGGCCTAAAGGAACATGGTTTTTATAGTGCAGTATAATTTAGCACAGTCTAATTGCTGCGTTTACTCGATTTATGTTTTGAGATGTAGCTTGAGGTTTTGGTTGTGTGTTAACTAGTCGATGCCTGCCCAAATCTGTGTGCCTAACTTCAGCAATACTTGCCTGGTTACCCCACCAGATTCTTGTAACACTGCGTAGACAGTGACGTTCGAATAGTGACAGTCTACTTCTATCCCATTTTCCTAGTTTTCCAAGTTTCTGCGCCGTTTGGCAGAACCGGCTGAACTCACGCTGCACACACTCGGCGCACTGCTACTGGAATTGAATTCCACTTGTGCGATTTTAGATAAAGTGCAACAGACAGCATGTACTATATTTGTGCCCCCTCTGATAGATAGCTCGCAAACCTTCAGGCTGGAGCTGGGGACACTTGAATCTGAGTTGCCCCATTGACTGTAAGTATTTGAATGGCCTCAGCTGCAAATTCACATGATAATGTTCTTGTTCCAGGAGTTGCGGAGAAGGATTTGATTCAGTTGTATGGTGAGTGATACCGTGCATAGGCAGAGGAGGCTCTAATATTAAAAGGTTGGTGGTCGTGAACAGTTGAACGGAACGCATTCTGTCCCATAAATGGCCTAACTTTTGGTAAACTAACTGAGGTTTAAACTCCAGACCTCGCAGATAAAATACAAACACACTCACACCCTTTCATCGCCAAAACACTGAATGTGCTACTTCAGTGGTTCTTACACGATGTAACGGAACTCCCGTTTGTAAGCCTTTTGCCAGCATCTAACATCTCCGTTTTATAATCATCATCCAGGATTGAAAATAAATAAATCCAGCGGAGTTCAAACAGCTGTAAAATGCCTTTTGAGTCTTCAACGCAAGAATCCTTTGCTCTGTCAGCTTCACTTTTCATATTTTTACAACCGTTACCCATGCACTTTCATGCGCCGGTTTTGGTTGCTACCGTTAAATGCCCTATTTGGATAAAAGAGCAGAATGAGAATTGCAATGATGGAAGCAAATTCAAGTGGAAGATGGTGAATTCATATAGAGTGGTTTTGGGAGAATAATGAGTGGATGCACGAGCGCCACTGTTTTGCGGCACCCATTGTCTCTAACTATCGGTGACCATCATTTCGGGGTCCCCAGCCAGGGAACCCAACGGAGCCTACGTGACCTAGTCTCCTGGTTAGGGTTTTCATACCCTCATGACAGGTCTTCGTTTGACCATCCTTGACCTTTTTCCAACCCCTATCTGCCTCGGCAAGCATCGCTCGCCGTGGCAACCTATTTGATGACATGCCTAACACATACCCCAAACAACGTAATCTATGGAGGTTAATCATTTGCTCCAGTAGACGACCGTGACTACCTAAAACTCTACGCCTAACCTCAGCACTGCTCGTCCGGTTACCCCATCAGAATAGTGCAATGTGACTTAGACAGCGGTGTTCGAAGATCGTGTCCTACAATCTTAGGGACCCATTTGGAAAACCGTCTTCCCCTTTGCTCTATATATCATGTAATGCACAATATACATGTTTTACAGAGAATGTAGGGTGGGTGTGTTGGAATATAAAACAGAGTACATAGGTGGTCAGACAGATATACTGAATACAACAAATAAGAATTATGTTTGTTTGTTTCGTCGTACACTCTTTGACTTCTTGTACACGGGATTCCAACAGGCAGATCGCAAACCGCTCGTGCTATTAACTTCTATTCTGGTCCATAGATCTCAGCGTCTCTGGTTTCAGCCTGGAAGGTGGGCTGCACCAAGGAATGCCAAAACTGAAGATAGCTTCTTCATACCACTACACCGTGGTGCCTTCTGAATGCCGCGGCACTTCATCTTTCAGCCTTGTACAGCACATGCAATGAGAGCACGGAGAGGTAAACCATTGGAGTCGGTATAAAGCGGTTACTTCGTTCACTGATGTGTCTGATGGATAACATGCTCGCAATATGGTCGATCTCACAGAAAACAAAAATCGTCCAACCAAACTCCTTTGGCATTCTGGACTGCAATTCACTGATGAAAATGAACTCCTAACAAAATTTTCCCTACCTATGAAAGACTGGCTTATGAAATAAAGTATCGTGGAGAGGAAACATATTATTGACCCATATGCAGTTCATGTGGTGTGGTCTGTGTGACGTGCGCTCTTCCAAACAGATTCAGTTTGCATGTAACTTAGGAAAGTAGATCTATTTAAACCTGACGGCTGAAATTTTGCCAAATTTTGGATAAAGCATAACTAACGGATTGTGATCTTTTTCTTCGTATTAATAGGATTTTATGGGGCTTACCAACAGGTAAGTGCAATCAAGAGAACTAAATCCCTGTCACGTAGTTCGCTACTCGTCAGATTCTTGTTCAATCTGGACGACTTAATGCAAGGATGGGTTTACACGAGATATTCACTGTTCCCAACGGATGGTAGTGGTAGCATTTCAGTCATTCTTACCGTATCAAATCGACCGGGAGAGAAACACTCACTTCATTTTGAAATGAGATTATTTTACCAAAACCTTTTTTGCCTCCAATTATTTCAATGATTAGGATAAAACGGGTAGTATTTTAACCTCGGATAATACTGCGTATGTTTTAATCCGAAAATTGAGTGAAAATACCATCGAAAGGGTGGGGGGGGGCATAAGATCGATTCTACTTAAGGAGAAAAAGAGTTAAACCTCCCTGGAAATCTCGTTATCCACAATGCAGTTCATCGTACAGCATCAGAAGTATTCCACTGTGGAGTTACATCCTGCCTGCTCCTCCATTATCTTGTAATAGACCAGTAAATGTTGTTTTTCTCTCAAGCAGTCACTAAAGGCAACTATTCAGATAGAAAAATTAAATATTCGAATTCAGCCGTCAGGTTTAAATAGATCTACGGACAGATGTGTCGACTCACTGTGGCTGTAAAAAAACAGCTTTTAAAAATGCAATTCATCCTCGAGATAAACATAACTGTTATTTCAACAAAAGGATAAAGAAATCGATTCATGGCTAGAGAGTGAACGTTTTATCGACTGATAACGATCCAGTTCTTTATCCATCAGTCACTGCCCATATAAGTGATCGGGGTGAATTCACATACATTTCTACTTACAGAACTACGTACCCTTGGCGGACCGATTTCGGATCAAACCTCTGGAACATCGGTTGGCAGTTGCCAACTTAAGGCACTATCAACTCCGCTGAGATATTTGTCCATGCCTAAACGACGGCTGTCCGGACGGTGTTTTTGTTTGATTCGGAGATAGGTGTTGCAGAATGAGAACAATGACAGAACATCGGTGCTCAGACACCGCTGTCTGTGCCATACTGAATCAGTCGGGTGGTAGAACCGGACCGGCTGTAACGAGGTTACACGCGGTGTTTTAGGCAATTGTTGGTAGGTACAGGTGCAAATGCTTGCTTGGCCCCCATAGATGACAGTAGGTTGAGCATGTTTTACATGTCATCCGATAGGCTTTCTCGATGTGCAATGTTCACCGAGGCAGAATCAGACCACAGGATAGTCTAACCATGACTTGTTTACTTACACTCAGCATCTTTATTGTGGCACTGCTTTCAGATTTGAACACTTCCGTTTAAGGTTAGTTCATTGGTCATACAAATGAGGGAATCCAAATTAGTTCGTAAAGATGCAAGCTTTATTGTTTAAC